TGATCTTTCCAACTGTATCAGATTAGTCATAACAATATACTAAAGGCTATAGCATATTTCATTGAGAAATTAAACAGAGTCAGAGGACATACTTTGGAATAGTTTTCCTTTTTCCAGAACTGCCTGCTGAAGGTCAAGTGGGTTTATCATGAGACCCTCTTTGCAGGGTCCCATCAAGAGATGATGATTTAGCATTGCCTAGCAGAGCCCACGTCAAGAAGCCCTGTGAACATTACTGCTGCGCTGTCCTACCTCTATTCCCTGCAGAGTGGCTCAGGCTTGCCGGGATGTGGTCTTAGGAGAGAGAAGGTCTGTGGGTATGGAAAATGCTTTTTTGGGGGAGAAGTGAAAGGATATGCAGGGGGTCCTCATTTTGGCCTTGCCTCCTCTCCATTCACAATAAAACAGGAGATGTGTGAGACATTTATTGCTTATGTCCCTTGTCATTACCAAACCATTGCCTGCCTGTCCATAGCACCCTAACATTTCTTAAAGATTTACACAACTGTTATCAATTCCCAAACAGTGTTCTTAAGTTTTATTTATTTGCCAAGCATTTTGAAAAATTTTGCTAGTATATCATCAAGGTAGAAACAAACAATAAAAATGCACACAGCCTCAGAACACAATGTTGATGAATTCTATATGTTACCACATACATTGTTAGAAAAATATCGAGCTCTGGCCCATTCCCCATCTCTGCTAAAAATACAAAGATTAGCTGGACGTGGTGGCACATTCCTGTAGTCCCAGCTACTTGGGAGGCTGAAGCAGGAAAACTGCTTGAACCCGGGAGGTGGAGGTTGCAGTGAGCCGAGATCATGCCACTGCACTCCAGCCTGGCGACACAGTGAGACTCTATCTCAAAAAAAAAAGAAAAGAAAAAAGCAACCGTTTGCCTTAATTACTTTAAGGGAGAGAATGAGCTTGCAACAGCAGCTGTGTCCCTATACTCTATGTTTAATATTCAAGGTGGGGAACATGCTCAGAGGTGGAAATAAGCTTATAGTGCATCTTCCAAAAGGCTAAAGGTATGTGCCCCACACTCCTTTAGGGTTCTACACACTGGAGGCTGTGCCTGTATCCTATGTGGAACCAGTGAAGCAACATCTGTCCAAAGACAGGGGAATGTTTTCCACCTCTTTTATAAATGCGTGCAATCTGTGCTCATGTATATTTATACAAGCCTGCTTTCCCTACTGGGAGGAAAAAGTCAGACTCATTGACGTTGTTTTTGACCCTCAAACTGAACTTGATACTATCGATGTACACTTTAATTAAAGATTAGGTCAAACCTATTTTTTATTTAAAGGCTGATTCTGAACAAATGCCTTCACTGTTCAATTTAAAAAACTATGGTATTAAACAAACAAAAAAGTACACATTATTGCTTCTTTCTGTGTTTGTCACAGTAAATACTTCTGACAGATGTTTCCTCTCTTTGCAAACATGCTAGGAGGTGCTTGAGCCTTAGTAATTTAAAATAGACATTAAATGCATTTATATATTGCATATAAGATCCATGGAGAATACTGTGTAGCACCATACAGTGAAAAAGAAATTGTTACTTGATTATTTAACTATCTTTCAAGACCAAGCAATGTTAATAGAGTCAATCCATCTCTTTTGTTAACGTAAAAATAATAACTTTCTAGCTGGGTAAAAATGCCCTTAATTTCAGATACCTTTAAGGAATGCTAATCACTGGGACCCTTAATTCACAGGAAATATTCACTGTATGTTATTTAACTAGTATGTTATTTAACTATTTCTAAAATACCTAGTATCCTTTGTCAGAATATGGAAGCATTAGGTTTCTTTGAATTAAAAAGTGAACTCGAATAACAGTTAAAAAAAACTTTCCTTCACCACTGTTAAGGTTATGTTTGAACAGTTGTAACAACATATCTATGAGCTTAGTAAAGAATTTTTAAAACTCAGATATTTTTAGTTACAAAACTCTAGGATGATGTTATATAAACTCACTTGCAAAGTTCAAAATGACTTTAATTTTGCTTTGTTAAATGTAACAGTCTATTTAATTTTATGTGCAAAATAAGCTTATGTGTATCAGTAATATAGATATAATGTTAATATTTTTATTTGCAGTTCTCAAAGAACCATTTTGAAATTAGGATACTCCCCTCCTTCCCAAAAAAGTGCAATAGTGGTAAGCAACATGGTTTTTTTAAGGCTAGGTGAGGTAGCTCATGCCTATAATGTCAGCACTTTGGGAAACTAACGAAGGAGAGAGGATTGCTTGAGGCCAGGAGTTTGAGGGCAGCCTCGGCAACACAGTGAGATCTCATCTCCATAAGAAAAAAAATAACCAGGTGTAATAGCATGTCTCTGTAGTTCCAGCTACTTGGGAGGCTAAGGTGGGAGGATTACTTGAGCCTAGGAGGTTGAGGCTGCAGTGAGCTGCAATTGTGCCACTGCACACCAGACTGAGCAACAGAGCAAGACCTTGTCTCAAAAAACAAAAACATTTTTTAGTTAAAACAGACTAGTTTTACTTAAAACAAGCTAGTTTTTGTGACTTCTAGTCTCAACTCTGTCAATGTTTTACTCTGTTAACAAGTTATATAAGACCTAATTTAAAAGAATTATATTATTTTCCATTTTTAAATGCCTATATTTTGAAAGCTGAATCTTCATTATCCAAACAAATGTTAAAAGACAGTGGAACTCTTTTAAGAATACGATAAGCCCCATTTTATAGATGGGAAAATGAGGCTCGAAGAGGTACAATCAGAAGGACCCAAGGTCACACAGTTGCCATGAGCAGAGCTAGGACTTGAACACAGCTCACTGACTCCAATAACCGACCTCTCAAGTACTCTGCTGTGGACTCTCAAACAAAACTGCCCTTAGGAACAAGAAGGGATAGTAAGAGAGAACAGGTGAGGAGGTGATTAAAGTGAACTGGAAAGCACATGCAACTGTAGTTGTTTAGCTCCACAAGAGTGTGGCCAGATAAACATGCATCACACTAGCTGGCAAGTGAGATATCTCGATTATGAAATCATCTGATTTTTAAATATTTAACTTTTTCTTAAAAAATAACCTGCACTGGCTCACTCCTGTAATCTCAGCACTTTGCGAGGCCACGGCGGGCAGAAATCACGAGGTCAGGAGTTCGAGACCAGCCTGACCAACATGGTGAAACCCCGTCTCTACTAAAAATACAAAAGTTAGCTGGGCATGGTGGCTCATGCCACTATTCAAGAGGCTGAAGCAGGAGAATTGCTTAAACCAGGGAGGTGGAAGTTGCAGTGAGCCGAGATCGTGCCACTGCACTCCAGCCTGGGGAACAGAGTGATACTCCATCTCAAAAGAAAAAACAATCCGTGTACTAGAATGGGTAAAAAGAAAAAAAACAAAAACTGATAATGCTGGCTAGGATATGGAGCAACTGGAAGTCTCATGTACTACTGATTGGAATGCAAAAATAGTACAGACACTTTGGACAGTAGTTTGACATATTCTTTTATTTATGTATTTATCTTTTGAGAGACAAGGTCTCATTTTGTTGCCCAGGCCGGAGTGCAGTGGCTTAAACACAGCTCACTGCCCCCTCAACCTTCTGGGTTCAAGCAATCCTCCTGCCGCGACCTTTCCAAGTAGCTGAGACTACAGGCATGTACCACCATACCCATTTAATTTTTTTAATGTTTTGTAGAGACCAGGTCTCAATATATTGCCCAGGCTGGTCTCAAACTCGCACCTAAGCAGTTCTCTCACCTCTACCTCCCCAAGTGCTGGATTGCAGATGTGAACCACTGTACCCAGCCAGTTTGACATATTCTTATAACATTAAGCTGGGTGTGATAGTACATGCCTGTAGTCCCAGCTACTTGGGAGGCTAGGTTGGGAGAATCACTTGAACCCTGGAGTTCAAGCCTGCAGTGAGCTATGACGGCACCACTGCACTCCAGCCTGGGTGACAGAATGAGAGCCTCCTTAAAAAAAAAAAAAAACAAAAAAAAAAACCACATTTTAACACATCTAGCAGCTATCAGTTCACTCCTGGTTATTTTCCCAAGTGAAATGAAAACATATTCACAAAAACCTGTAGCTGAAAATTTATAATATTATTAATAATCACCAAAAACTGGAAACAATCCAGAGGTGTTTCAGCTGAGGAATGGATAAACTGTGATACATCTATACAATAGAATACCATTCAGCAATACAAAGGAATAAACTAGTGATATAATCAACAATGTGGATCTCAAAAGCATTATGCTAAGTGAAAGAAACCAAACTCAAAAGGCTACACATACTATATAAAACGCTTCTATTTGTATGACTTTCTGGCAAAGGCAAAACTACAGAGACAGAAAACAGATCAGTAGCTGCCAGGAAATGGAGGTGGGAGAAAGGGTTGACTGCAAAGGGTCAGCACAAGATAATTCTGGAGAATGAGAGAAATGCTCTGTATCTTTATTGCATTGATGGTTACAAGACATATGTTTATGAAAGCTTGCTGAACTGGGTGAATTCACACTGAAAAGGGTGAACTTAACTATGTAAATTACAATTTAAACAATGAGGGAAATAGTTGAAAGGTGAAAAAAGTACCAATTAATCTATTGCTTTATATACATATAAAACACTTTTATATTAAAAACAAAATGAAATAAATTGATATGCATGACTATTTTGCATTATAAGGACAATCTGAGTGCAAAATATAAGAAGCCCCAGACACCTCAAATTTGCTTCATCCTAGACCTGGTCCACCTTTCCTCTAATATTCTTATTTCCATACCTCTCACAAATCATAGATTTTTCACATGCTTCACTTATATCAAGAGGAAAATCTTTGTTTCTGCTTCCTTTTTAAAGCCTGACAAGATTCACACAGTTCGGCGATGAATTGTTAGCTTTTAACATTATTAATGTGTCCTAGATTCTATATGTTTGCTACCTTTTCGGGATACTTTCATTCTTTTAATTTAATGCTTTTTTTCCCTCTCTATATAAATACAGGAATCTCTCTTCGAAGCAATCTGAAAGCTTGCTGACAAAAAATGATGTGCATGAATGTCACCCTCTCCATAACCCCAAAGAAAAAGACAATTTGTGGAATATGAGTAAATTCAGCCTCATGTGACAGAAAACCTTTGATTTTGTTTTTAACTTTATAGGACTAGGCAACAATATTTTTTGTGGGTTTGTAGCTTTATGGTATCTCATTATATAAGAAAAACTTTTAAGTTCTTGTTTGATTTGCTGCTTTATACAATTGGAAACTTTGCTTTCCACCTGTGAATTCAGGGACCTAGTTGATTTATTCCTCATTATATACAATTTGTTGGGAAAATATGTGTTTTTTCATTCAGCAATAGAAGCCCCTTCAATGGCGCGATCACAGTTGACTGCAGCCTCAACCTCCGAGGCTCATGAGATCCTCCCGTCTCAGCCTTCGGGGTAGCTGGGACTACAGATGTGAGCCACCGAACCGGGCCTCTTTTTGAATCAATAGAATTTTGGTGTGCTTCTTTCTAAAGTGTAAATCTAATTACAGTTATTGGATGGGAATTGAGATGAAAGCCTCAGTACCATTCTGATTCACTAATGTACTAAATCTGTGGGCCAGTACATCCAAATAGTGCCACTATTACTACTGACGGCTCGGTTACGGTAGTTCCAACTTAGAAATCTACTGGAAAGTATGAAATGATGGTGCATATACAAGAGTGCAGTTTCTTTGGAGACATTTTTAATTTGATATTCCATTTGACCCCAAAGAAGGTAAGAAATATCCTGTTCTTGGCTTGAGCCTGAGAGTTGGAGGCTGTGGTGAGTCGAGTTGGCACCACCGCACTCCAGCCTGGGCGACAGAGACCCTGTTTCAAACACACACAAAAAAACAGAAAATGTCCTATCTATTATGTGAATTTCTGGCATTGTTTCCAGTGTGTCCTAATTATGTTGCTAGAAAGTACTCAGATTTCACCTACGAAAACGACGGGTCCAGGACCTACAGAAACCGCCGCGGGTTGGGGCGGCCGGGGGCCCACGGCTTCCTGCCTTGGGGCGCAGCGCCCGCTTTCTAAAGAAGCCTGGGATCGGATCCCGCCCCGCTGCAAGTCACGCTTCCCGTGCGTCCACAAGCACACTACCAGAAAAGAACGTTATGTCCAAATAAAGAACGATGGCCCCCGCGGGGGCAGCGGAGGCGGCAAGTAGGGTCCGCCTCGGCGAGGAGCGCCCGCGATCCCAGGGCTGTCTGCTCCGGGAACTTCTTAAAGAATTACAGGCCGGGCGCGGTGGCTCAAGCCTGTAATCCCAGCACTTTGGGAGGCCGAGGCGGGTGGATCACGAGGTCAAGAGATCGAGACCATCCTGATCAACATGGTGAAACCCCGTCTCTACTAAAAATACAAAAAATTAGCTGGGCATGGTGGCGCGTGCCTGTAATCCCAGCTACTCAGGAGGCTGAGGCAGGAGAATTGCCTGAGCCCAGGAGGCGGAGGTTGCGGTGAGCCGAGATCACGCCATTGCACTCCAGCCTGGGTAACAAGAGCGAAACTCCGTCTCAAAAAAAGAAAAGAATTACAGACACCGGGAGCATTCGGGGTCTGGAAGAAAGTGCGGTATCTCCCCGCTTTAGGGTAACTAGGCCAGTTTGACTCTTTTACCTTGTGGCAGGATAAACGGCTAGCGCCTCGAAGTGGCACGCTCGACTTTTTTTCACAAAGCCTAAAAGTCACGCTCAACCAAATGGCAGCGTTCCCGCCTCAGGGGACGCCGGCCTGGAATCAGACTGGACCGAGGAGGTAGGACCTGGGCAGCGCGAGGCCAACCACAGGCCTCACCCGCGGCCTCGAGCCCTGCCCAAGCGCAGCCGGCAGCCGACACCAGACACCCGGGACTCTCAGCACGCCGCCCTCAGCGAGGCGCCTCAGGGAAAGCAGCTTGAGGCGGGGAGCCGATGGGAGGAGCCAGAAGGACGCCCCGCCCCCTAAGCCCGCCCCGCCGGGCGGTTTGATTAATGACCCTCTAAGCCGCCTCAACCCCCGGCGGCGTATTCCTTTGGGTGGGCCCGGTCCTCCCCGCCTGATCTGCCCTAGGAGCCCGGAGCACACAGGCCTGGCCGCGGGGTGCCAGCATAAAAGGCGCCAAGCGGGGATTGGAAGCAGCCGTCGACTTGGGCTTCGGCCGTACGAGGATAGAGTGACCGGCGCGGCCCTGGCCACGCAGACCCTGCCCGACGCCCTTCGCTCGCTCGCACTGCGGAGCCGAGCCCCACTCGGCCGCTCCCGGAAAGGTGAGGGCCCTGTCAGACGCCCACTGCGCGGCTCCCGGGCTCGGAACCATGGTGGGTGCCGTACTCCGAGGTGAAGCCAAAGGTCCCCTACTGCTCGGGCAGAAATTACCCCTGACGTGAAGGGCCGAGGCCGGCTGGCGCGCAGTGGTTTTCCCCGGCGTCGGCGAGTAGCAGCCGTGCCACCTCTTGTGCGCGGTGAGCTGAATAACGTCGCCGAAGCGCTAACGAGTGCCGATCCCGAGCTGTGCTTCCGAGATGTTTCTTCTCGGGTAGAGTAGCCCTTTCGCTTAATTTGTCCCCGAAAAGCAAAGCCGCCACCGCGCCCCTCCCCTCATCCTTCTAGGAAGCCCAAGAACTCCAGGGGCCCGCACCTCTCCCCAGACGTCGGGAGGCAAAACGCGCCCCAGGCAAAACGAGCTCAACCGAGTGCGCCCTCGGGCCCATTGGGTGGCTGGTGGGCGCACTGGGAGAACCAGGGGGCTGCGCCTCTCGAGTTAAGCCCGACCGCGTCCGGGTCTCACCGCGCCTTCCGTCCTTTGCAGCGCGCGCGGCGGGGGAAGCAGCCATGGACCGCGACCGCCCTGCGGGCAGCCCTGTCAGCGCCAGCGCCGAGCCTGCGTCCCTGCCCGCCGCCACCCGTGACTCGAGCCCAGGGCGGACCGGGCCGGGGCCGACGGGCCCCGGGGGCGGCGCGCGTTCTGGGGGCGGAAGGCCGGCGGCGGCGAACGCGGCGCGGGAGCGCAGCCGGGTACAGACCCTGCGGCACGCCTTCCTGGAGCTGCAGCGCACGCTGCCGTCCGTGCCACCCGACACCAAGCTGTCCAAGCTGGACGTGCTGTTGCTGGCCACCACCTACATCGCGCACCTCACCCGCAGCCTGCAGGACGACGCGGAGGCACCGGCGGACCCCGGGTTGGGCACCCTGCGTGGCGATGGCTACCTGCACCCAGTCAAGGTAAGCGGGCGGGGCCCACCGCGGGGCTAGGGCCGAGACCGGGACACCTTGATCCGCCCTACTAGTCACCGTCCTGGGTAGATGCTCTCATTACTTTTCGGGTGAGGCGGGAAACCGCTCAGGAGAACGACCTCAGCCCACGGGGGTACTGGTGGCAAGGTCCCTACCGCGAGAGGCTGGCTGCTCCTTCGCAGTTCACAGGTCGTGAGTGAGGCGTTTAAAGCCGGGGTGGCTTGGGTAAAAGCCTGGCAGGCCCCTTACAGGATGTAGCAGAAGGATTTGTGTGCCTTCCAAGGGGAGAAATGGGGGCTTGGTTGCACATCCTGATAATTTTTAATATCTGAGTTATATGTATGACCCTTTGAGAGTTTTTAAGCATCTTTAATTTACATAATTACACTTTCCTTGATTTTTATGGGATATTTGAAAGATTTCACTGGAGTAGGAAAACACTTGAAAATTTGTTGGTAAAACTATTAAGAACAAATGAGACCATTCTGCATCTCCATGGGGTAAAATTTCAGTCCTTTTAAATAAAGGTTAAATATCATAGACTTGACAACTACCAAAAGTGTTAGAAAAAACTACACTGTTTTAAGTACTTTCTTAATAGATTGGCATGTGTGTTGAGTGAATTGATTACTAAATTCAAAGTCTGTAATGTACAAAATTAGACAAGAGAATCCATTTTGTGTAATTTCTTTACATATAGGTAAAATGGTACTTAAGGTGGTATATATGATTATGCTTCATTACCTGTTGCAGTATTCAGTCTTGGCATCGTCCTCTTCTCCTTGATTTGATTGCTTTGAAACCTTACACTGATCTTTCTGTTAACAAATGCATCATCTCATTATTTGCTAAACCTAAATTTTCAGAGTTTTGGTTCCACCATCCTGAAATACTTGGCCACACACACAAATGCAAAGTTAAGACTTAAGACTTAGATTTAAGCATATCAGTGTTCAATAAATTATTTAATAATTATTATTTAATAGGTTAAAGCACACCTTCTGATATTAACTGAACTTACAATTATGTGGTAAGATTTAACAAAATTTACTTTGCAAATATAATCATAATGATAGACAAACAATTTCAGTATTATATATGAAGACGTGAAATCTCATTTATTTATAATTATGATAGAACTTATCTCATTTGTAAGTCTTATAATCTCAGCAAAAAAAGTCATTATTGAGGGGCTTTGTATTACCGTGTTCATTAGATTGCTATTCAAATATACCGTTAATATTAAATTTTTTTTGACTTGACACTTGCCATATACTTTAAGGAAGTATATTTTAACATTAAGTAGATTGTAATACAAAGAGCATCTGTTAAATGTTTTATGGGAGATATAATTCAGAATGAGAAATCAAGATGTTTTTCATATTATTTTCTTGGAATGCTTTTTTTGAATGAATAATGTTAGAAGGGTCATTTCCATGTAACAATAAGCATAGCAAGCATGTTTTTGCACTTGATTCATATACCAAATGTTTTTTTATTATAACTTTTTCTTTGAAAATATTGTTTTTATTTTAAAAGACAACTCCTAATGATACAAAGCCAAAGATTATTTCTTAAAAATGAAATTAATGTTGGTTGAACAAGTGACTAAAATCAAGCAAACTTTAAAATCAAACATTTATTGAATTCCTTCTATGTGCAAAACACGATTTTAGGGGAGTGAACACCATTATGAATAAGACTCAGACCCTTTCCTATATGAACATATTATAGAGACAAAGACAAAGAAATAAATAACAGTATTGGAAGGGAGGATATTGTATTAGCCATAAAAGAACTATAATTATGTACTATGGAAGTTCAGAGGAAAGAGATATTATGTACATAATTGAAACCACCTGTTAACTGTTAACACATTATTTTACAGTCACTACCAAAATGTTTAAACGTTGTCTACCTTTGATTAATAGGACAGAAATGAAAATATTCTAATTATTTGTACTTTTATGGTTAACCAAAGGCTCATTATAAACTATTGTTTAGTAAAATGTGTTCTAAAATGACTTCACTTTTCTGCCTTATAATAGTGTTAAGTCTTACCCTGATGATCAAAGCTTTTTTAACAAATATTTCAAGGCCATTATTTTGAATCATCAGTCCTTATTATCAGTATCATTAGCACATTAGCACTGTTGGGGATTTACTTTAAGAGCATTTCATAGCAAGACTACCTCTCTAATAAGAATTGTTAAAATTAGGTGGCTGTGGTGTGTGCACCTGTAGTCCCAGCTACTTGAGAAACATATGCAAGAGGATTGCTTGAGCCCAGGAGATTGAAGCTGCATTGCACCACTGCATGCCTGAACAACTGAGCAAAAGCCTGTCTCAAAAAAGAAAAAAACATCTCAAATGAAACTGGAGATTTAAGAAACTGGGAATCTGGTGCATAGCCTGAAATGGCAGTTTTTAATCCCTGTTGGGGTATGAGCAATTTATTTCCATTAGCCTCAGCTGCCCAAAAGGCAGTGATTGTCCAAGAAAACAGGAATATATTTCAAATCTCTACATTGGCAGAAAAACATAGATAATTTTATTGCCGTGCCCCTTAAGAATCATTGTCTATGAGAGGTAAACAATAATTTAAAAAACAGATAACAGGGTTTCGTAATTTTGAGCCACTTAAACTAAGTGCATTTTTAAGGTCTTCAGTTTCAGGTTCACTTACAGTTATCTATGAATTTGCTAAATTTTCTAAGCTTAATGAAACCACAGTAAATGGTTTTAAAGATACCCTATTAGGAAAAGTAGAGCTAAGTAAGGATTATATTAATCTATACAATCCTGAAACAAACTGTTGAAAAGAAAATGTAAATCAGTCATCTGGCTTTTTGGCATCATGATGACATGCAACCTAACCAATATTATATTTACATTTTAGTTTCAGACTCTAAAAATTATGTGTCTACATTAAATTAAGTTGAATAAAAATCATTACAAGCCTTTTTGAAAATTAAGGACACAACATTCTTTTAAAAAGGAAAGTTTATTTTATTAATCCATGAAAAAGAGGCAAAAATCCACATATACATGTTAGGTTTGCTTCATTAATTCTGTCCTAGCAAGGATGAAAGAAATAGATGCCTTCATTTGTCTCCACTCTTGGCTGAATGATTTAGAGCAATTCTTAACACAGTGGGACCTGGATAGCACATAAGAGGACCACCAGGAGAACATTCAGTAGTATTTTGATTTTATTTGTTTTAAAATGTATTTAGTTCACATAATTCTCTAATTACATTTGAGATTTGAGCTTGAGATTTTTATGCTTATGAAAATGGGGCAGGGGTTTAAAAGGTTTCAAAGCAGTGGTATATAATGTAGCCAAAAAGTCTGCACTTAAAGTTGATATCTGTCTTACACTATTCACTATGTATATTAGTCTGCTCAGGCTGCCATAATAAAATAGCACAGACTGGTTGTTTTAAACAACAGAAATTGATTTTCTCAAAGTCTGGAGACTGAAAAATCTAAAATCAAGGTGCCGGGTTTAGTTTCTGGCAAGGGCTTTCTTGCTGGCTTGTAGATGGCCCCCTTTCTCTCTGTGTTCTCACTTGGCCTCTTGTTGGTACATGTGCGAGAGGGAGGAGAGAGAAAGAGAGTGATCTTCCTCTTCTTATTTTATTTATTTATTTTTTTGAGACAGAGTCTTGCTCTGTCGCCAGGCTGGAGTGCAATGCCACAATCTCGGCTCACTGCAACCTCCACCTTCCAGGTTCAAGCAATTCCCCTGCCTCAGCCTCCTAAGTATCTGGGACTACAGGCACACACCACCACACCCGACTAATTTTTTGTATTTTAGTAGAGATGGAGTTTCACCATGTTGGCCAGGATGGTCTCAATCTCCTGACCTCGTGATCCACCCGCCTTGACCTCCCAAAGTGTTGGAATTACAGGCATAAGCCACACCACACCCGGCCTGATCTTTCTCTTTGTAAATGGATGTTAGTTCCTCATGACCTAAACTAACCCTTTTTACCTCCAAAGACCTTGTCTCTGAATCCCATCACCTTGGAGGTTAGAGCTTCAATATGTGCATTTTTGGGGTATACAAACATTCAGTCTGTAACACTACAGCACTGGGTTTTTCAGTATAATGAAAGACTTTAACCTGATATAATAATGACAGATCCTGATATATCAGATAAACCTCGTTCCAGTTTCTAAAACATATTAGTTTGGCTGGGCATGGTGGCTCACACCAGTAATCCCAGCACTTCGGGAGGCTGAGGCCGGTGGATCACTTGAGGTCAGGAGTTCCAGACCAGCCTGGCCAACAAGGCAAGACCTGGCTACTAAAAATATAAAAATTAGCCAGGTCTGGTGGGACACACCTGTAATCCCAGCTACTCAGGAGGCTGAGGCAGGAGAATCCCTTGAACTCAGGAGGTGGAGGTTACAGTGAACTGAGATCATGCCACCACACTTCAGCCTGGGGAACACAGCAAGATGCCATCTCAAAAAATAAAAATAAAATAAAAAACACATTAGTTTATCAGCCTTTGGCAAAGATCCCAAGAACAGGACCACTAACAATGATACACCTAGAATGTACAGGAATGCATATGTATTATTTTTAAAAATTGAGGCCAGGCATGGTGGCTCACACCTGTAATCCCAGCACTTGGGAGGCTGAGGCATGAGGATCACTTGAGCCCAGGAGTTCAAGACCACCCTGGCAAACATAGTGAGCCTCTTTCTCCACAAAAAATAATAATGATAATAATAAAAGTTTTTAATTAGCCAGGTGTGGTGGCACAAACCTGTAGTCTCAACTCAGGAAGCTGAGGCAGGAAGATTGCATGAGCCCAACAGGTTTAGGTTTAGGCTGCAGTGAGCCACGATCACACCACTACTCTCCAGGCTTGCAACACAATGAGACCCTGTTTCATTAAAAAAAAATTAGGACTTTGGTTGGTTGCCACAGAACAAAACTTTCCAGATAGTATCACATGCCCACATATTCTTATTGGCTATGTTTTACATTTGGAATCCCAGTTTAGGTGAAAATAACTGTGCTCACAAGTACAGTGAGAGTTTATATTATTCCACCTAAGATCTACTCTATTTACATTCTTTAACTGTTACATAAGTAATAGTCCATTCTAGCTTAATTGGTCTGAGTGTGACTTGGCCATCAGTATGTATTTAAAGCTCTCTGGGTGAATCTAATATGCAACTTAGGTTGTGAACTCAGATCTCTTAATGTTCTTTGGGCGTGTTAATACTTATACCTCTACCTGAGCACTGTGAATTGTCTGCTAGGAATTTAAAAACATTTTACAGTGCTCTGTAACCACCAGTCAGCCTGTGTGTGTTCTCTGATGAAGATAGGTAGCCTGTTTACGTAAGGCAATACTTGCTCCCTGGAGAGTATGGGACCAGATTGCTGACCTTTGGGAGTTGCATTTTTTTTTAGTCCACCTTTGTTTGAAAAAAAAAAAAAAACCAAAAGTGGTATTCTAAGGATCTTAGAACTTAACTGATTATATGACATCTGCCTCCCTCCCAAGAGTTTTATTCCAAAAGTACTACTCATGTAATATGATTTTTCATCATTATATCTATCTAGCAATAAATTATATTGTTTTAGAGATTGCCCATCATAAAGAAGAATTTTTAAAAATCACAATCAGTAATTCAAATGTGATGATTACCAGAAGGTTAGAGCTAGATGATGTCAATACATACAGACATTTAATCAGGATGTTCTCTTAGTATAATACCAAATATTCTAATATTTATGATTTTAGATACTGCTTTTAGCTAGATAAGATGCATAGACGGGGCCGGGCATGGTGGCTCATGCCTGTAATCCCAGCACTTTGGGAGGCCCAGGTGGGTGGATCACGAAGTCACGAGTTCAAGACCAGCCTGGCCAACATGGTGAAACCCTGTATCTAATAAAAATACAAAAATTAGCCAGGTGTGGTGGCACGTACCTGTAATCCCAGCTACTCGGGAGGCTAAGGCAGGAGAATCGCTTGAACCCAGGAGGCAGACGTTGCAGTGAATCAAGATCGCACTACTGCACTCCAGCCTGGGTGACAGAGTGAGACTCCATCTCCAAAAAAAAAAAGATGGATAGTTGACACTTTTTATTATGGTCCTTTGACACGTGTAGACATATAATACCACAAAGAACTTTTTAGAATATTTTTAAAGCCAAGGATCTAGTTTTAGGCTTAATTTTGTTTGAGGTAGTTTGAAATTAAAATATGATTGGCTGATATATTTTTCTACACTTCAACTATATTTATTTTCATTATTTCTTGTAGTTCTTGTCCATAAGCATACATATTACTTCTAAAATTTTAATCAAGGCCAGGCGCGGTGGGTCACGCCTATAATCCCAGCACTTTGGGAGGCCAAGGCAGATGGATCATGAGGACAAGAAATCAAGACCATCCTGGCTAACATGGCAAAACCCCATCTCTACAAAAAATATAAAAAATTAGACAGGTGTGGTGGCAAGCACCTGTAGTCCCAGCTATTCTGGAGGCTGAGGCAGGAGAATCGCTTGAACCAGGAGGCGGAGGTTGCCATGAGCAGAGATTGTGCCAATGCACTCCAGCCTGGGCAACAAGAGTGAGACTCTATATTAAAAAAAAAAAAAAAAACAAAGTCTGAGTATATTTTTGCTTTTTTACTGTTAGGATTAATAAACATTTTTTCATGCTGTTCCTTATACTTCATGCTTATAATTGTTACTAGCTACATAACATTGCATTTGCATTGGACTATTTGTAATCTAATATTGCAGACCATGTTAATATATGTCCTAGATACTAACTTTTGAATTCTTTTTTAAATAATATTTTTCAGAAATGGCCCATGCGATCAAGATTATACATCGGTGCTACTGGTCAATTTCTGAAGCATTCTGTTTCTGGAGAAAAAGCAAATGACAACACTCCAACAGACTCACAGCCTTAGGCTCTTCCCTGGTGGGGGCTGGTAGAAGTGGTGGCTATTGTTTTTAAATACTATGACATAATTCTATATTTATTATATGAGACATAACAAGCAAAATTTCTGAAAGTTTACATGTGAACCCATAGTTAGATGTTCAGATTTATCTCTCTAAACATGGAATAAACAGCTTATCTGTTCAGTGTGAGTCACTGCTATATAGTGTAAGAGAAACTATTAGAAAAAAATCACATGAAAGCAAACAATTGTGTATATATCTAAAGAATGCACACATTTCTGTAGTATCTGTTACAAACAGAAAAGTTCATATATACTGATGCAGTCTTACTAGTTTAAAAAGATAAAATCTGTGTTTGTAATATACCAGTATTCCATTTTTCTACAAACCATACCATGCTTAAGTTGGTCTAAGAAGCCATTTCAGTTGAAGAAAACTGTTGCAGTAATATGAAGATGCAGTAACTTCTATAAGTAGTTACTTTTTCCCTCTTAGAAAACTTGTTTGGTGTATTAGAAATGGTTTTCTCAGAGGACAGGGCTTGGCCACCTTCCTAGACGATTATTCTGTATCTTACTGTGTTTGCAATTTGTTGAAGGTTCTGGGAATCTCTGCAGTCCAGTGTGAACAGGAGACCAGGTGTGAGTGAGCAGCCAAGTTTATCACCTTCCCTGGTCACTGCATAGCCAACCCACCCTCTTTCATCTGGGCTAGATGAGCTGTAGCCACCCTGGAGAGAGTGGCAAGTTCAGGCCTGATGGGGGCCTCAAGTGTGCCCTCATGACCCTCCTCATAATCAGTGTTGTGGTCTGGCTCCTTCTCCCCTTGTCAGTTGCTGTTCACAAGCTACCTGCTTGGCCATTGTGAAATGAGAGAAATCCAGTCTGATTTGGGAGTTCTGGCAATGATCTGCACCTTGAGAGGGTGTGGGATACAGAGTGACCATCCTGAGATAAATTCAGGCTGGAGCAGACCCCCCCGAATCTGCCCCAGTGAGAACCTCCATGGGCCTCTCTCTATATACCACATGACATTAAGTACCTGGGGAGCAGCTAGCTGGTTTGACTGAACCAGTGGCTTCAGTTTTCAGCAGGAGCTAGGGATCAGAACCATGAAGTAGAGATGTTTGTGGGAAAGATACGGAATCCCAAAACAATGGGATGCAATAAAGACATCAGAAAATAAATAAATATCAGTCATGGATTTTGCTGACTTACATTCCCTTGTATCTCCCTTTCTTGCTTTTCTCAGTCATTAGTATTCCCCTTTCCAATGTGAAATTTATTTACTTCCCAATAACCCACAGCTTTAAAGTTGCTGAGCTTAACCCAAGATTAGCAAATATAAAAGGTGTATTAATGGACTTAGTTGAACTAACAGAGCAATTGAACCACCATTTTATTTTGTTTTCATCTCCGTTTTCTTCCAACTTTTGGCAGTGAAGTGAAGTAAAAGATCATTTGAAGGCAAAAACTAGCATTCAGTTGATTCAGGTGAACATGACATGTTTTAGTCATATCTGATAGTTTATATGTTTTATTGGTGTGTGTGTGTGTGTGTGTGTGTGTGTGTGTGTGTAACACAGGGCCTCACTCTGTTTCCTGGGCTGGAGTGTAGTAGCATGATCATAGCTCACTACAGCCTTGACCTCTCAAGCTCAAGCAGGTCTCGTGCCTCAGTCTCCCAAGTAGCTGGGACTATAGGTGCATGCCACCACACCTGGCTAATTATTTTATTTTTTGTAGAGATGAGAACTCACTGTGTTGCCTAGGCTAGTCTTGGAACTCCTGGCTCAAAAAAAATTTGGCCACCTAAAGTGTTGGAATTATAGGCGTGAGCCACCATGCCTGGCCCAGTTTTATGTGAATATAATCTTAATGTGACCAAAGCATATCTTTTTGAAAGAAAGATATATAATAAAAGTTCTCTACATATTAATATGTAGAAAAGTACTTGCATATTTAAATATTTGTAAATATATTTACCTACTCATATAATATGTAAAGAAATAAAAAGTAAAATGAGATTTGGATTCAACCATTCACTATTATAAGTTACTGACATAAGAAGTGCTAAAAAAGAATCTTTATCCTAAGGAATAAAATCAAAGCTTCTTTAAAGTTACCTCAAGCTGAATTGTAAACACTAAATTTAACAGCAAGAATTTCATATTAATTATTTTCTTGCTAATCTTAAGATTTATTCATTTAGCTAGTTTTTAAAGTATTTAATTGGGGGAAAAAACTGTTAAAAAAAACAACTGTGTTGAAAAAACAGATGACTTTTAAGTCATCCTGTTAAATAGTAGAACTTTGCCTTTGATGGTATTACTTTTAAATCTTCTCATCCAGTTAGTTTTAATGTCAAAGAAGTGTATTTGTTGTAGATGCTCATAAAATTTTATTAAATTGCTAGATATGATGATAGGTTTCAGTAGGTTTGAAAATTACAGAGAGAAGAAATTGCATATTTTCACTCAAAAGTTCAAAGGAGCATCCTGTTGTAACCATGCTGTCTTTTTTTTTTTTTTTTTTTTTGAGACAGAGTCTCACTCTGTTTCCCAGGCTGGAGTGCAGTGGTGCAATCTCTGCTCACTGTAACCTCCACCTCTTGGGTTCAAGCTATTCTCATGCCTCAGCCTCCTGATTAAGTGGGACTACAGGCATGCACCACTATGCCCACCTAACTTTTGTATTTTTTAGTAGGAGACAGGCTTTTACCATGTTGGCCAGGCTGGTCTCGAACTCCTGACCTCAAGTGATCTGCCTGCCTTGGCCTCCCAAAGTGCTGGGATTATAGGCGCGAGCCACAGTGCCCAGCCTCTGTTTTGTTTTTTGAGATGGAGTCTCACTCTGCTGCCCAGGCGGGAGTGCAGTGGCAAGATCTCAGCTTACTGCAACCTCCGCCTCCCAGGTTCAAGTGATTCTCCTGCCTCAGTCTCCTGAGTAGCTGGGATCACAAGGGTGCACCACCATGCCCAGTTAATTTTTGTATTTTTGGTAGAGATGGGTTTTGCCATGTTAGCCAGACTGTTCTGGAACTCTTGGCCTCAAGTGATCCATCCACCTCAGCCTCCCAAAGAGCTGGGATTACAGGCATGAGCCACCACTGAGGAAATACTCTAATACACACAAAACATCTCTTTACAGTGGCCAACTTAGAAAAGAACACATGATTTATATTATCACGTTATCATGACATGATAAGACAAGTGGCTTGTTGGCTCTGTATATAATTGTATTATTAGCTGTCAGGGAGAAGAAACCACAAATCGAACAGACTGCTTCTGATCTCAATTTATATATTAAATATTTTGAGAGATGGCTTAGTCTAAATGCTCTTTTCTTACTGTGTGTGGGTGATTGTAAATCATATCAATTGTGTATTTTATTTGAAAAGCTATGAACTTTGATTCATCTCACACTAGCAGATTCTGTCTTAACTTGATGATAAATTAATGAGTTGTTTTAAATTATTGCTGGTGGCCAGGCAAGAGGTGGCTTATCCCTATAATCTCAGCACTTTGGGAAGCCAAGGTGAGTAGATCACTTGAGCCCTGGAGTTCAAGACCAGCCTGAGCAACATGGTGAAACCCCTTTCTTCTCTACTAAAAATACAAAATATTAGCGGGATTTGCTGTGTATGCCTGTAGTCCCAGCTACTTAGGAGGCTGAGATGGGAGGATCACCTGGGCCTGGGAGGTTGAGGCTGCAGTGAACCGTGATGATGCCACTGCACTCCAGACTATTATTGCTAGAGGATGTGATTGATATCTAATTTCCCAAATGATGTAAGACACAGTATAGTATTGCTGTGTTTCTCTGATACATGCACTTTTGAATTTTTTTATTATTTTTTGTTATTGTCATTTTAAAAGAACTCAAAAGCTAAGACTGTAAAATTTTAAAAGCACTAGGAAAATACTGTAAAGTTGTGTGTCTCAAAGATAATATGTACTTTTGTTATGTAATGGCAGCTGGTGGTCTTATATGCAGCTGTTGGACTGAAAAATAAATGTCCCTTAAATCCTGTGGATTTGCTGCCTGTAGACTCTGATCACCGCACAGATGGCACTACAGCACAGTTGGGAATGAGGGGCATTAAGTATTCCTACCTAACTACATAAACCTGGAGAAGGTTTCCCTTCTTATGTTTATACAAGTCTTAAATTTCAACTCATAAGACAAACCAGCTCAGTGAAATATACCTCAATCACTCAAATGCTTTCATTATAAATTATACCTTAACATTTAGCTGTCAGAGCTTTTAAATTATAAACTGAATAATCTTAATTATTAAAGATTATGTCAGTAGTCAATTCTTGTGCATATGAATGTTAATAAAGAATCTCATGCATTCCTGCCCTCCCAGGGCCAAGAAGTATGTCCTGGGGATGAACTTTAATCACTCATCTCCATTTTTTAAGCCATTAGAAACTGGGGGCCATTTCAAGCAAGGTAATGTCTAAAGAAAAATTGTTTTTAACCATTTTTATTTTCAGATAGACTGAAGTCAATAACTTAAAAATGTTAATTGTGTGCTATCATAAGGTAGCTTAATTCTTTTTTTTTTTGTTTTTGAGACAGAGTTTCCCTCTGTTGCCCAGGCTGGAGTGCCGTGGCACCATCTTGGCTCACTGCAACCTCCGCCTTCCAGGTCCAAGCGATTCTCCTGCTTCAGCCTCCCAAGTCCCTGGGACTACAGGTGCCCACCATCACACTCAGCTAATTGTTGTATTTTTAGTAGAGATGTGTTTTCACCATGTTGGCCAGACTGGTCTCAAACTCCTTACCTCAAGTGATCTGCTCGTCTCAGCCTCCCAAAGTGCTAGGATGCGTGAACCACTGTGCCAGGCCAAAGTAACTTAATTGGTTATGTAGATAGATATATCATGTGAAACAAAAAATTTTTAAGGCCAGGTGCAGTGGCTCATGCCTGTAATCCCAGCACTTTGGGAGGCTGAGATGGGAGGATCACTTGAGGCCAGGAGTTCAAGACCAGCATGGGCATTATAGCAAGAACCTCTACAAAATAATTAAAAAATTAGCCAGGCATGGTGGCATGTGCCTGTGGTCCCAACTACTCAGGCCACCTTGCAGCCATAAGACCCTGTACCAGATTCATCTTGAAACGTGGGCTACAATCAAGTAAAAATAATGATATGGAATGGCAGAGGCAAGCGAGTCAAGAGAGGAGGAAAGGTGCAAAGCGATTTCAAATCCCCATTTAGAAAGAAGAGGCCAGTTCGACCAGTGTCCAGTCATGCTATAGGTGTGTGATTATAGGGACACACAGGCCAGTTCAACCAGTGTCCAGTCATGCTATAGGTGTGTGGTTATAGGACATGGGACAAAATAGCTTTTGTTCTGGTCTGGTTAAGTCAGGTCTCGACCTCTTTGTGAAAGGAGACCTAACTTAACCAGACCAGAACAACAAAAGCTTCCATTACTGAGCCGCACTCAGTCTGAGAGGTCCAGAGAGCAGTCACACCTGGTGTAATGAAGACTGGGCCCAGGCGGTCCTATTTTCCTCTCCATTCAGCCAGCCAGTGCCAGAGACTGGACACTGGACAATGTCTAGGGTGATGGTGGTAGCAGAAATGGCTTAACAGAAGACAGAAAACTTGCCTTAAGCACTGACTACTGGTCTCCTCTCTTCCTCCAGTCTATGTGAGCTCCACCCAGACTGTGGCCACTCTAGAAATACACACTTTGCTTACATTAGCGCATTCCTTTTGTTTTCTTTTTTTTTTTCTTTTGAGACGGATTCTCGCTCTGTCACCCAGGCTGGAGTGCAGTGGTGTGATCTTGGCTTACTGCAACCTCCGCCTCCTAGGTCCAAGCGATTCTCCTGCCTTAGCCTCCCAAGTAGCTGGGATTTTGGGATTACAGGCGCGCGCCACCACACCTGGCTAATTTTTGAATTTTTAGTAGAGACAGGGTTTCACTATGTTGACCAGACTGGTCTCGAACTCCTAACCTCAGATGATCCGCCCACCTCAGCCTCCCAAAGTGCTTCGATTTCAGGCATGAGCCTGGTGGAATTTGGCACTCTTACATGAGTAAATATCCTTAGGGCATGCAGCAGTTTAGAAGAGGGAGAAGATCATATATTTTTAATTACTAAACTGATCTGTGACCCTCAGCCTCCCTAACTCATTGACTTAAGGGCCTCTTGGTTAATGGTAGATTCCTCCTAGAATGAAGTCACTGTACACCTTTGAAAATATAAAAATAGGCTGGGCAAGGTGGCTCATGCCTGTAATCCTAGCACTTTGGGAGGCCAAGGCAGATGGATCACCTGAGGTCAGGAGTTTGACAACAGCCTGGCCAACATGGTGAAACCCCGTCTCTGCCAATAATACAGGTGGCAGGCACCTGTAATCCCAGCTACTTGGGAGGCTGAGGCTGGAGAATCGCTTGAACCCAGGAGTTGCAGTGAGTGGAGAACACACCATTTCCCTCCAGCATAGGTGAGAAGAGCGAACCTCTGTTGAAAGAAAGAGTGAAAGAGAGAGAGGGAGGCAGGGAGGGAAGGAAGGGGAAAAGAAGAAAGGGAAAAGGAAATGCAAAAATAACTTTGAGAGTCCCTAGCAACGTAATACACTTAATTTTCAGACTTTATGAAGAGAAGAAATGGAATTCTAAATTCCAAAAGCTGCCCTCTATGTATAAGTGCCAAGATTGGAGGTCTATAAATAGTTTTACTAAAAGTACTAATGGGAAAGGGAGGCCACGGAGCTAAGAGGGAGTGGACGTGTCACCCTCCACTGGTGTCCACCTTGGGAAGAACAGGACAGCGAGGGGCAGTAAGGAATTGGAGACAAGGACTGACCTTGCCACAGTTCTCTCGACAAAGCCCCGGATCCTGCCTAGAGCCACACCCCAGGTAGGCAAGATGAGCAATGGCTGAGGGAGTGTCCTGAGGACAGCCCCACACTACAGGCTGCCACAGGTCACAAGCTGCTGAGAGTACTCAGGCCAGGATGCCAGCACATGGGAGGCTGCAGAGTACAGGGCCCACAAAAGGGGAGATTGTAAGCAGGATGCAGGATCTCAGCAGTGAGTGCCAGCATGGCCCTGTAGAACCAGGTGGTGACAGACACACTATGTCAGAGTGCAGTCTAGACCCAGAGGACAGACAGTATGGGAGCCTGCAGTCCCTTCCTCCATGTCCTTTGGATTCACAGCTGCTCCCTGAAGCCATCTAGAGATGGAAGGAGAAGGGCAGGTAGGAAGCCCATTGAGGGTAAACAGTGCTGATAGAGCTTCATCTATTACTTGGCTGAATATTTAATGAACAGAGACTAACGTCAAAAGAGATCTGTTTGGCAGGTGGTTTTCCTCTTCACGAGTGGGGAGTCTCAAACAAGATAAGGTCAGATACAGGACATAAAGCTACATTATTTTCCTCACATTTGAGTCATGGTATGGACATTTTAACCCAATTATATTGTAGAGATGGACTATCTGTATAATTTAAAACCTAATTGCTCAATATTGCATCTTATTTGACGTTAGAACACATCAAAATGACTGTAGTGATACTGAGGACCTTCTTGGACCTTTGCAAATGGATTAGAAAAGAGAGAAACTTGCCCAGGGTTGTCCAGCTAGTCAGTGGCAGAGCCCAGATTCAGGCCCAGGCATTATGGTTCTGAGAACCTGGTTTGTGTTCCTAGACTAGCTGCCTGGATGCTTAAAGCACTTGAGTTTGTACCCCTAGTTTGGTTGGAAAGCACTATCATTTGCTGCAGGTCTCTCACTGTGGTAAGTACTTGGCATAGGGTTTGTTTTCAATATATTTCCTTTGGCTTTTGCCCTCTTCACCTTAGCTCACGAAGTTGACATGAAATAATAGCTGAGAAAGTGCGTGTAGGCAGCTCAGTGCAAGCCAGGCATTTCTTCCCTGGCTTGTTAGCTCCATTCGATGAAGAGTTAAAAAGATGCAAGGTGGGCCGGGCACGGTGGCTCACGCCTGTAATCCCAGCACTTTGGGAGGCCGAGGCGAGTGGATCACGAGGTCAAGAGATCGAGACCATCCTGGTCAACATGGTGAAACCCCGTCTCTACTAAAAATACAAAAAATCAGCTGGGCATGGTGGTGCATGCCTGTAATCCCAGCTACTCAGGAGGCTGAGGCAGGAGAATTGCCTGAACCCAGGAGGTGGAGGTTGCAGTGAGCCGAGATCGAGATCGTGCCATTGCACTCCAGCCTGGGTAACAAGAGCAAAACTCCATCTCAAAAAAAAAGATGCAAGGTGAAGCATGACACGAAACCCACAAGCTGCCTTAAAGGGAAAGATGGCTAATTTTGACTACATAAAAATAAATTCACAAAACAAAAGAAAGGGTCAAAAGACAAAAAACAAGCCAGAAGAAAAAAATCACAACACATGATACAATAGTACATCTTTTTACATAAAATCAGTTCTCATATTTCAAAAAAGCAAAACACTGGCCAGGCACAGTGGCTCACACCTATAATCCCAGCACTTTGGGAGGCTGAGGTGGGCGGATCACTTGAGGTCAGGCATTTGTGACCAGCCTGGCCAACAAGGCTCCTGTCCCTACTGAAAATACAAACATTAGCCATGCATGGGGGCATGCTTCTGTAATCCCAGCTACCTGGCAAGCTGAGGCAGGAGAATCACTTGAACCTAGGTGGTGGAAGTTCCAGTGAGCTGAAATCACGCCACTGCACTCCAGCCTGGGTGATAGAGTGAGAATCTGTTTCAGGAAAAAAAAAAAAAAAAAAAAGGAAAAGAAAAGAAAAGAAACCAAACAGCTAATATCTACAAGTTCAGGCGTAATTAAGAAAATACATTGAAAAAGCAATGAAAGAACATGTTTCACCTATTAATGATACATACAAAAAATACTCATCATCAGTGAAGGTGGGGAAATGAGGACTTTTGTACTGTTGGGAATATAAACTCTTTTAAATGTAATTTGACAGTATCTTCCACTATTATAAGTATACACACTCTGACTTGGCAATGCCGTTAAAAAATTTCCCCACCGGGCCAGGCACAGTGACTCACGCCTGTAATCCCAGCACTTTGGGATGCCAAGGTGGGTGGATCACAAGGTTAGGAGTTTGAGACCAGCCTGGCCAAGATGGTGAAAACCTGTCTCTATTAAAAATACAAAAATTAGGCAGGCACAGCGGTGGGCACCTGCAATCCTAGCTACTCAGGAGG